TTTCCTTTGTAGGAAACCTGTTGCTTATCTCTTGCTGCATTTAGGATTCTCTCTTTGTCTTTAATTTTTGGCATTTTAATTACTGTGTGTCTTGGTGTGGGCCTGTTTGGGTTCTTCTTACTTAGGGCTCTCTGTGCTTCTTGAACTTGAATGCCTTCTTCCTTCACCAAATTAGGAATGCTTTCTGTCACTATTTCTTCAAATATTCTCTAACCCTTGCCCATTTTCTTCCTCTTCGAGGGCTCCTATGATGCAAATATTATTACGTTTCCAGTTGTCCCACAGTTCTCTTTAGCTATCTTCTTGTTTTTTAATTGTTTTTTCCTTTTGGTTTTCTGATTGGTTGATTTTTTATACCCTGTCTTCTAATTCACTGATCTGGTCCTCAGCTTCCTCTACTCTGCAGGTTAGTCTTTCCAATGTGTTCTTTATTTCTTCTATGTCATTCTTCATTCCCACTTGGTTGGTTTCCAATGTTTCTATATCTTTACTCATGGTGCTGATGTCCTTACTCCTGCTGTTGAGCTTCCTCAAGATCATAGCTCTGAACTCTACCTCTGATAATTTGCTTAACTGCATTTCATTGATCTCATCTTCAATAGAATTCTCTTGTTTCATTTGGGATTTGTATCTTTGTTTTACCATTTTGGCTATCTCAGTGGGTTTTGGAGCCTGCCAAATTTTCCCTTTGGGTGTTGGTGTTCTGCTTTTTGTGGCTACCTCTGCTGGGTTTAGATGGGCCTGGGTGGGCCCACGTTAAACACCACTGTCAAGTCTTACTTTCCTGGGTAGATTTGCAAGCCCAGAAAAGGTTCAGTTATCCTCTATCTTTTCCCTGGAGGCTAGTAGTCTCAGTTACTCAGTGCCTTGGAATGTAGCCCTGGTGTTCTGCATAAGAGGATTTTCAGAAGGTGGGATAGATGCTGGTTGTTAATGAGCCTCAATTTGCATTTCTTTGCCTCACCTGGGAAAGGCTGAATCTCCAAGGGGGAGACTGCTGCTTTTCCCCACAGCTCCAGGAAGGAGCACACTGGCCATTGTCCTTTGTGGCTGCAACTCAGCAAAAACTCTGAGTGCCCTCCAAATCTCAGGTGTCCCCACAGAGTTCCAGCCCAGTCTGCCCTCCCTCTGCCATAGCCCCCAGGTGAATGGCTGTGGCTATTTTAGCACTCTGTCCCGGCTCTCGGCGCTGTGGAGCACGCATGGTCTTTATTCCCCAAAGGCGCTGCTCACAGCTAAGATTGCTGCCATCCATGAGTTCCCGAGCTGCAAATACTTACTTCATAAAAATCACAGATGACAACATGTTAAAACTTCAGGGCTCTACAGGAATAGTGAATCCATTGATACTAGGGTTCTTCTGAACTTATGTTTTTTGCTTTTAACATGCCAGTTTTAATATATACTTATTTTAATGATTGCAGATTAATATTTTGATCTACGGTCTTATATACATTTAGCTGAATGTTCATTTGATCTCAGTATGTTGGGATGAAACAGTTTTCTTCCTATAGGATTATATTTTCCCTGTGCATTAATCAAGATCCTGGATACTGCTGCTTACTCCAGCCCACTGAGTGATTTAGCACCACCTAGCACAGTATCTGACTGACAGAGTAGAAACAAGATACATATCATTAATGAATGTCTTTCACAGTAATTTAAACATCTTGAAAGGGGATATGGATATGATCTGTTCTAAGGCCATATATCTTACAACTTAAACCCAACTCTTAATTCTGAATTACCAAGGAACCCCTTCATCACACCATCAACCGGTCTTGAAGAAACCATTTTTATTGTCTAGTCCATGTCTGAGCCAATGGTAAAGCTATTAACCACATGGCTTTAGACGCCTGATTTGTAGAACCAAGTGAATAAGGTCAACTAACAGTTACTGAATATAATGACACAGTGATTAAGATGAATTCAGGGATTATTCAGAACTTTTATTATTATAAGTAATAGAAACCCAACAAACTGGCTTAAGTTAAAAAAAAAAAAAAGGATGCCTAGTTGCTCTCATCACTTGGAATGCTACAAGGAGACCTGTCAAAATTGAAGGAAGAATTGGAGGAACATGAAGTCCCAGGGCCCCAGAGTCTCCTGAAGTTTCTCTCTTCCCAACTCTCATCTCTCACTGCCTCTGCTCATCTTCCTCCTTTGCTTCTCCTGTGGACAGACTCTTTCCACACAACATGAACCATCACCTTGACATCCCCAACAAAGTGAGGACACTATTTTCTCTCATCCAAGAATCCCAGGGAAGGACTCTAATTGTTCCCATTTGGGTCACATGCCTGTTCTTTGGATCAAACATTGTTGACAATAGAAAAAGATACTGATTGGCCAGGCCTGAGTCATGTGATCACTCATTTGATCCTTTTCCCAGAAGGGTCAAGGGAAACCTTGCAAGGCAGATAAAGATTGTTACCATGGCCCATTACACTGAACTATCCAGAAGAGAAATTCTACTGATAATGTGGAAAGATATCTTGTGATTTACTATGTGTAGCTATATATATCGCATATCACCTCAAGAACTATCCTAAGCAGGAACAAATCTAGGAAAGGGCAGAGAAACTCTCCTCCTATGTGTGCAATTTGTCCAAATATCAGTGTAAAATCATGTCACTCAGCAATCAAATCCCATTCTCCTTAAACCGCATGAGCAATTTCATCTTTTGGTTTATAGAATTGAAGCTGAAGTTTGACCAGATGACCTCTAAAGTCTTTTCCAGTCTATGAACCCCCGGTTAGAATAAAAATACGTCTGGAGAACAGTAAACCAACCTAGTATATTATTGGACAGTGTTACAGGCTAAATGATGCCTCTCTACCACCCACAATTCATAACATGAAGCCCTAACCCCTGGTACATCAGAATGTAACCTTATTTGGAGATAGGGTATTTAAACATAAAGATTAAATGAGGCCATTTGGGTGGGTCCTAATTCAATTTGAGTGGTGCTGTTATAAGAAGAGGAAATTTCATGTACACAGAGAAGACCATGTAACAACAGAGAAAAAAGACAGTCATCTACAAGCTAAGGTAAAACCAACCCTGCCAACACCTTCATCTCTGACTTCCAGCCTCCAGAACTATGGGAAAACAAGTTTCTGTGGTTTAAACAACCTAGTCTTAGGTACTGTTATTGCAGTCCTAGCAAATTAACACAGATAGTAAATCAAGGATTTCAAAAAGGGCTAAGGCACAGGTGAGACAAAGTTAACATGTGAGATGGAAGACCAAGAGGTTTTTTTAAGGTTCTTTTTTATAGTCGAATTCCCCCTGAGATTCAGAGGCCAGTACTAATGAACTAATTAACTGTGGTGTACTGATGAAAATATGATGGAGTGGGTAAGAAGCTAAGAGAAATGTGGATGACAGATTCCACCTTTTTCAAAATTGTAACAGGGCTAACGTAAGATGGTTCTCTCAGAACATGGCATTACGGTTGGCCTGGCCAAAGGGCACATACATGGGGTGCCTGTGGGAAGCCTGTCTCCTACATGACTTCAGGCTTACCTGGACTCCTGATATGTGCTTCCACTGAGGATTTTGGAACTCAGCATCCTGCCCTGACCCTGGGCTTTGAGAGGCAAATGGCTGAATGACTGCTCTTCGCCATCACCTTTATGATGCTCACCTGTCATGGCTTCCCGCTGAGCCAGGCCTGTACAGTGCAAGGCAATTGGCCTGCCATTCTCACATGTGATGACAGTGGGCTGGTAATCCACACTGGGGAAACACCTGGACCTTCTGATTATAATATTCTTGCCCTATTAGTCGTCTGCTTCCCCTGGCCCCTACATCATTGCTCTCCCACCAGGGACTCGTCCATCCTTCCTATGTCAAACCAAACTTCACTGTAATGGAAAACCAGTTCCTGGCCTCCTTCCTCAGCCTCCCCCCACCCTGCTGAATTTTCCTGGATCCTGGACTTGTCTTACCCTGGCTCATTTATCATTTTGCCTCTCTTGGCTTAGCTCTGACCTTTGCCCTTTGACAAATCACAGTGACATTGGCAGGTTCTCAGAACCAGAACTCGGGACCCGCCAACCTGCACTGTTGAATTATATTAAGGTTCCACCACAAAGCACAATGAGCATTTGGAAAAACACCTCTGTTCGTCAGGAAACAGCGAACACGGCGTACCCGCTACACAAAAACCTGACTCTACAGGGAAATATTTTTGTTAAATAGACTGATTGCTAAATGAACAGGGTTTGTGAAAATCACATCTATTATATAGGACTTTGCAGTTCATAAGCCTCATAATATCAGATCAGCACACTGGCAAAGCGGTGCTTGTGTGGCTGTTAGAATGAAATCTGGAAATTGCTCCATTATTGAATATTACAATGATATTTGCCAACATGGGATTTTTTGCCTGTGTGTGCTTTCAAATAAAATTTCTGGCCACCATTGTTTATAGCCCAAATATATTAATATCGCCATAAAACAAATTTCACAGAAGACAAATGAAATATTTAAATAATGCAAGCATTGTGGATCCACTGAATACTGCATTTTACGTTTATGTTCTTTTTATTTTTTCTTATCACCCACAGACATTTTAAAAAACACACACACCTGATAACGTCAAAAGACGAGAAAGGCTGAATTCAGGAAAATAAAAGAACCATAAATCAGAAAACTTTGGAGCTGCTAGAAAGACACTTTAATTTTGTAGACAAAAGACTGCATTAAGGAGGAATAATGCAATAATAAAGGTGAACGAATCTCTATTGTCTGGCGTCTTTCTCTGTGGGAATTTTCCCACCCCTGACAGCTGTAAGGAGGAGGGGCACCGACTGTGGCTGCGCCTTTATTCTCTCTCCCCTTTTCTCCCCCTCCTCTCCTCCGTCAATAAATGTCTGCAATCATATTCTTGAGCTCCTGTGTGATTTCAAGGTTCATCTCTTCCATGCAGCTCAAACACTAATTATCCCAGCTGTAATTAGTAAGATAATTAAATACTGGCTCACTCGTCTACCTTGGGTCGGGTCATGATTCTCCCAGAAGACCTTGAGCAGTTCCTCAAAGCTGATGCGTTCTGGCTGGTACACCACTCGGACTACTTCTGCATGGCCAGTTTTTCCTGGAAAGAAACAGAATGTACAACTAAAATTCACTGACAGCATCACTTTATTACAACTTATATGTTTCAAAAAAAAAAAAAACACACCACTAGACCAAGGCTAAAATTCTTCCCTCTGAAGGAAGGGGGAGCATAACTGCACTTTAGCTGATGGTTTTGCTCTAAGTCTCCGTCACTGGTTCTTTTTCCCTAAAAGCATACAGTTGTCATCTAGCAGGCTTCCTGAGGATGATGGCTTCTCCACTGTGGTCTATTATTTTTTTAATTTCATGAGAAAACAAACTCCGGTCCTCATTTTTCCGTTTTCACCCTTATGAAACCTTATGGATCCCCTCCAACGTAGTGCTCGAGACTTGAAATGAGCTGATTTATTTTTATCATCACCCCACACTAGATGCAGTCAGCTCAGCTGCAACACCAAGTGAGATGGTGCCACATAAGGCTGGAAAATGCAGACTTACAGCTTGTTCACGTTAGATAAATTCATTCATGGAGGAACTATTTGCTGTGTGATAACACTGAGGCAAGGGTCAGCTCAGACACCCGGTGGGGCGGTAAGTGCTTCTCAGCCAAATTTGTCTCTGTGCCAACCAACGACTTTGGTGAATGTCTCTCCAGCACCCACGGCCATTCTCAAAGGTGGTCTCCAAGGCTCTGAGGATCTGTGAAGTGGGTATTTGCGGTACCGCTTATACCTGCGGCATTCATGCCCTTCCTTATCTTTCAGTGTTGAGACATAGTAAATAACAGCCCTCCATACAAACATCATCTCCATATTTAAACTAGTTTTCCAGCTCTCTCTGATCATCTTATGTGTAGCAAAGAATGTTGCCCAGAGAGAAAACTGGCCTTTGCCTTGGCCTCTGGGAAGTAATCTATGTCACACCTGATAGGAGTGTTCTTTGTTAGGATGAGGCTGACCACACCAACATTGTTTTTTTTTTAATCCTCACCCGAGGACATTTTTCCATTTTTTGTTCAGATAGAGTGGGAGGGGGGAGGGAGGGGGGGAGGGAGGGAGGGAGGGGGAGAGAGAGAGAGAGAGAGAAACAGAGAAACATCGACGTGAAAGGGACACACCGAGTGGCTGCCACCTGCACAACCCTGCCAGGGCCGGGGACAAACCGCAACCGAGGTACGCGCCCTTAGTGGGAACCGAACCCGAGTCTCTCTGGACCACATGTCGACGCTCCAACCGCTGAGCCAAACCCGCCAGGGCAACACACCAACATTCTTAACTGGGGACTGGCCACACTGTATCTTAGGGCAGGGTTGGCTGTACCCAACAATGTTAAAGACCAACCATGTGACTGAAAGTGGAAGTTGTCCTGGAGACTAAGTTCAGCTCCATGGACAATCAATCTGTCAATCAATCATGCTGATGTAATGAAGCCCCAGGAAAAACTCTGGCCACCAAGGCCCGCACGAGCTTTCTGGTTGGCAATACTCTCAGCATACCGTCACACCTGGGTGCCAGGAAGGTGACACATGGGAGAGAAACACCCTGACTGCTCAGGAGAGGACACGGAAGCCTCCACCCTATGGGTCTCTTACTTTGGTTGATTTTGATCCATATCCTTTGCCTGTGGTAAAGTAACTATGAGAATAACAGCTCTCAGTGAGTTCTGTAAGTTCTAACCAATTATCAAACCTCACTGGTTCCAGGAATCCCTTGAACTTGTACCTGTTTGCAAAAGTGTTTTTGTACATGTTGGTAGTCTCACCATAACTCTCACAACCCTCTGACGGTGTAGGGAGGGCAGGTAGAAATCCCCATTTTACAAATGAAAACACTGAGGTATGTACTAAGTTAGATTTGCCCAAGGGCACATGGCCAGCAAATTTCTGGGCCATAACCTAAAACAAAATACCTTCTGACTTCTTTTTTTTTTTTTTTCCTCACCCGAGGACATTTTTCGATATTTTATTCAGATAGAGTGAGAGGGAGAGAGAGAGAAACATCAACGTGAAAGCAACACATCGAGTGGTTGCCACCCACACGACCCAACCAGGGCTGGGGACAAACTGCAACCAAGGTACGTGCCCTTAGCGGGAACCGAACCCGGGTCTCTCCAGACCGCAGGCCGACGCTCTAACCGCTGAGCCAAACCGGCCAGGGCCCTTCTGACTTCTTATCCAGGATTCTGTCTCATATGTCAAAGCCAGAGAGCAAAGTGAACATGAATCCAGAAAAGGAAAGCAATCTATTATCTTTAATCTTTTCTAATATTTAAATTTATGTTTAATTACAGAAACAATAATCTGCAAACAATATAAAGCTTAGACAATATGTGGAAGTATAAAAAAGAAAATAAAAATCACCTACACTCCTACCATGTAAGATAAGTACTATCAATATTTTTACTCCTATTTTTCTGGATCTGTACCAGATACACACACACACACACCACCACCACCACCACATGCAATTTATTTTATTAAAAAAATTTTTTTTTCATTATTAATTTTCAGAGAGAGAGAGAGAAACATCGATGAGAGAGAACATCAATTGGCCACCTCCTACATGCCCCCCACTGGGGATCAGGCCCACAACCTGGGCATGTGTCCTGACCAGAAATCAAACCAGCGACCTCTTGGTGTATGAGTCAACGCTCAACCACTGAGTCATACCGGCCGGGCTACAATTTATTATATTTTATTTTATTCCTCACCTGAGGATATTTTTCTATTTATGATCAGATAGAGTGGGAGGGAGGGAGGGAGGGAGAAACATCGATGTGATAGAGCCACATTCACTGGCTGCCTCCCGCACAACCCGACCAGGGCCGGGGACGAACCACAACCGGGGTATGTGCCCTTGACCGGAATCAAACCTGAGACTCATTGGTCCGCAGGCCGACGCGCTACTGCTGAGCCAAACCGGCCAGGGCCTCATACAATTCATTTTAGTGCAATCACTGCATCAAGCTTTAACCACTTAGAAGCATACTGTATTTCCCCATATCACTGAAAAATTTTTTAAATACCATTTATAGTGACTATATAACACCCCATAAGGATTGTACTACTATTACTTATTCGATCATTCCCTGTCATTGGGCATTTAGACTGAATCCTGTTTTTATCTATGAATGTAAATATTTTTCACATTTCTGAGGCTGCCTCAAGCCATACCTATATATGTGGAATTTCTAAACCAATGCATGTAAATGTTTTTAGGTTTCTTGATACCTGGCGTCAAACTGCCAAGTCTCACCCCACTGGCAGCATCCTGGGGCCAGTCTCAGTCACCATTACAGTGCTTTGATCATTACCAATTCATAGCTGGAACGCAGTATCCTGTTGTTTTATTTTCAATGACTTTAATTATTAGTGATTTTTAAAAGTCATGTTTCTTAATAATTTTAGCTTATTTGCTCTAATTTTTATAATGTCCTTTTTAAATATTGGGTTATTAATATTTTCTTATTAACTGGTCAGTCTACATAATTTTAATTCAAATACTATAGTCATAAGCATCTAGGCAGAGTCTATGCTAACAGATATGAAAAGAATAATGAGGAAATTATAGGGAGAAGGCACATTATGTATAATAATTGTTATTGTAAAACCACGTTGGACCTACTTTAAAATATTACTACCTTGTATTTTGAAATGTTTATTTATTTTTTAATCATCACTCGTGGATATTTTTCCATTGATTTTCAGATAGAGTGGGAGAGAGGGGGTGGGGGAGAGAGAAAGAGAGAGCATGAAACATCAATGTGAAAGAGACACACTGACTGGTTGCCTCCCACAAGACCACAACCAGGGCTGGGGATCCAACCACAACCGAGGAACGCGCCCTTGACCAGAATTGAACCCACAACTCTTTGGTCTAAGGGCCAACACTCTAATGGCTGAGCCAAACCAGCCAGGGCATTGTATTTTGAAATGTTTAAAGAAATGATTTAACTACAGTAAGAATGAAAACCCTCTGAATATTAAAAATGGCAATAATATGTTACCAACATGACAAATATATTTGGTAAGAAAGGCATGGAAACCACATTAGAAATAGGCAGAAGATATAAATACACATAGGAAGATAGAAATGTAAATCATGACTGAAAAAGGCTTGCCATTTTTAGTGATAAAAGGAAATAAATGCACATTGAAAACATTAACGTGCCATCTCCTCCTTATTACATTTTGTAAAACCACCTGAAATCGCACCTAGTGCTGGCAAGGAGTTGGTAAAACTGGCACCCCTGCTTGGCTGGTGAGGTGTAAATGACTACATCCTGTGAAACCCCACCAGTATATGAAGAAAAAGCCACAAAGATGAAGATTAATTCGCCCTAAGTGGTCCAGGAAATAGATCTCAAAGATATAACTGCAAACAATGGAAAAGATCCATGCACACACAGAAAACTCACCCCATAATCGTTACAATGGTGGAGTACTATAAGTAATCCATAAGTCAAACAAACAGAAAAGAAACAAATTATGGTAGAGCCATAGGATGAAATGTCATGTAGCCATTAAAATACAATGTCCTGACCCTAGTAAAAACTGTTCCTACTTACTGAATGCTGATACAATGGTGGGCACTTTACCCGATGTTCTTCAATGCTTACAACACATTATTAATATAAATACATAAAATTATCATTTAACCATTTTTAAGCATACAACTAAGTGCATACACATTGTTATGCTACCATCACCACCACCCACCTCCAGAACATTTATTTCATCTTGCAAAATCGAAACTGTCTCCATTAAACACTAACTCCCTATTTCCTTCCTCCCCTCAGTCCCAGGCAACCACTATTCTACTTCTCTCTCTATTCGACTGCCCTTGGTACTTCATATAAATGGAATCATATAGTATTTTTTTTTTTTGGATGTGACTGGCTTATTTCACTTAGTATAATGTCCTCAAGGTTCATCCATGTTGAAGCATGTGTAAGAATTTCCTTCCTTTATTAAGGCTAAATAATATTCCGTTGTATGCTTCTACCACATTTAGTTCATCCATCCGTCTCTCCATGGAC